ATGGTATGCATCATTCTACAATAATATGCATAATGGAATTTCCCAATTACTGATCAATATTACAGTGTAAAATAGAAACAAATGTATTACTGAGACCAATCTGATGTTTACCTCAGATAATCTAGATAGCATAGAACATGAATTATGAAGTATTATGTTTCATGCGCTTGTTCTTGTATCTCTAAATGTGACATTAAATTTATGCATAAACTCTAACAATTGGATTAATATAAAACTCAATGTGAAAGAGAAACAATGCAGTACATGTAAAACCGAGAAGAAAACTTATTCAAATTAAAACAGTAACTTTCCACAGAGTTGATGGATTTATTTCAAAATTTAACACAATGTTTATCATAGCGTTGGGGACATTATGCCATCAAATTTATTTTAAAGCATTCATTTGCAAATAATTTTTATTGGAACTTAGAACCGTCAGTTGTAGAAATTAATCCATTAACTTTAGTAAACGGATTAGTTTTTCTCATTCCACTGAAATTGAATAATTAGGGATTAAACATTTATTTTAGCATTTTGCTCTGACATGTCTCAAGATGATATTTACATCATTTCCTGATTACTACTCGAAATTACAGAATATATGACATTTACAATGGTATGTATCATTCTACAATAGTATGCACTGATTCAATATCCCGAATCCCAATTACTGCTCAATATTCAGTGTAACTTGACATTTACAATGGTGTGCATCATTTCAACAATAGTATGCATTGATTGAATATCCCAATTATTACTCAATATCATTGTATAAAATGACATTTTAATGGTATGCATCATTCCACAATAGTTCGCATTAATTGGTTTTCCCAATTACTGCTCGCTCAATATTACAGTATAAAATGACATTTACAATGGTATGCATCATTCTACAATAATATGCATTAATGGAATTTCCTAATTACTGATCAATATTACAGTGTAAAATAAAAACAAAAGTATTACTGAGACCAATCTGATGTTTATCTCAGATAATCTAGATAACATAGAACATGAATTATGAAGTAGAGGAAAACTTATTAAAATTAAAACAGTAACTTTCCACAGAGTTGATGGATTTATTTTAAAATTTAACACAATGTTTATCATAGCGTTGGGGACATTATGCCATCAAATTTATTTTAAAGAATTCATTTGCAAATTATTTTTATTGGAACTTAGAACCGTCAGTTGTAGAAATTAATCCATTATGTTTAGTAAACGGATTAGTTTCGAACGGATTAGTTTTTCTCATTTCACCGAAATTGAATAATTAAGGGATTAAACATTTATTTTAGCATTTTGCTCTGACATGTCTCAAGATGTTATTAACATCATTTCCCGATTACTGCTCAATATTACAGAATATATGACATTTACAATGGTATGCATCATTCTACAATAGTATGCATTGATTCAATATCCCGAATCCCAATGGGAGCCAGGACTCGCATAGATGGCAGTTAATTACTAGGTTGTTCTCCACAACTGGCCCATTGGTTTATGTGTAAATATTGCTGTTTTGAAACTTCAAATTCTCTACATATATCAAATAAATATCATATTTTCCTTCATCATTATTTACAAACATGTTTTAAGATTCAAAATTAGAAGTTTTGGATATTTTCAATAAAATTTATCTTGGGAGATTTAGAACATTTTTTACATGTTAAAGTATGCTATTTAACCTACTGAATTTTTCGCCATCTATTGACAGTCCTGAAGGCCATTACTGCTCAATATTCAGTGTAACTTGACATTTACAATGGTGTGCATCATTTCAACAATCGTATGTATTGATTGAATATCCCAATTATTACTCAATATTATTGTATAAAATGACATTTTAATGGTATGCATCGTTCCACAATAGTTCGCATTAATTGATTTTCCCAATTACTGCTCAATATTACAGTATAAAATGACATTTACAATGGTATGCATCATTCTACAATAATATGCATTAATGGAATTTCCCAATTACTGATCAATATTACAGTGTAAAATAAAAACAAATGTATTACTGAGACCAATCTGATGTTTATCTCAGATAATCTAGATAACATAGAACATGAATTATGAAGTATTAAGTTCCATGCAATTTACTTGCATCTCTAAATGCGCCAATGAGATGTGTTATAAACTCTAACAAACGGATTAATTATCAATGTAAATTTGTCATGGTGAAATTCTAAATAGAAACAGGTTTGTCGCAAAGACTAATCTAGTGTTTATCTCTGATATTTTAAACAAATTGTTTGAGATTACTAAACTGTTTTTAACATTAAATAGCTTTTCTTTTCAGGTGTCAACAATCTGCAGAGTAAAACCGATCGAGAGGAAAACTCAATAATTAAAAAAATAACTTTCTATGGAGTTGATCAATTAAATTCAAAATTTAACACAATGTTAATCATAGCATTAGGGACATTATACAATTAAATGTATATAAAAAAATGAACTCAAAAATTATTTTTAAGGAAATAAGAACCCTCGGTTGTAGAAAATTAATCCATTCACTCTAACAAACGGATTAATTATCAATGCAAACAAGTCATCAATCATTAATAAGCCAGATAAGTTACAGAAATAAGATGTGATGACGTCATTTCGTATAGTTAGCGTATCTCTTGTTTTTAGAACTCTGATTTAATAGTATATCCTGATATATGCTAGAAGAAGCTGTTGTTCATAGAATCGGCTAGTATATCCTTTCTGTAGATATGATAGAGTGGTAGACAAACTATATGTTAGCCTTGATATATAACACAGCTTATATTAGTTCATATTTAGTAGAGTGGCAAATAGTACTAACTATACTAGTTGTCCGCCAAATATCTTGATATAGCATGTGTCTATACAACACGGGAGATACGGGAGATATTTCACACTATGACAGTTGATATTAGAGCATAGTTAACAGGATATTCTATTACTATATAGCCTTTTTTGCACAGTGATTGCTACGACGAAGTCTTTGGTGGGTTACCTGATTCTTATACTGTTCAAAAACATTTGAAACATATGAAGGCATCTTATAATTATTTACAAAGTCAAACATAAAAACTAGTTTTTTTTCTTTTCTTCGATTGGATAAGGATCTCCATCCAAGACATGCCATCACCTTCTCAGAGTTTGACCCTTGGATGCAACCACTTACAATAAGACCCGCTCTATATTGGACTCTATCTAAACTTGCTAAGAGGTTTAGATTTGCGCTGTCAAAAATAATATTGCCATATTCGAGATGTAGGAGAATGAATGCCATGTAAATTGTCTGTAAGTGTTTTGATCTTACTGAAAATTTGAGTGCTTTTAATGGATTTAACATTTTATTACACCTAGTAATCACTGAGTTAATGTGTTCTTCAAAGCTAAGGTGTTTGTCTAAAATGATGCCTAAATGTTTATGGCTATTTACAAGAGGTATTTGCTCATTATTCATTGTTACTGGAATTTGTTTCTTAACTTTTCGTGTGTGTTTAGATTGAAAGATAACCTCCTTACTCTTAGATGCCTTAAATTTGAGTTTCCATTTAGTGGACCAATTAGCCATTTCATTGATATCTGATTGAATTTTTTGATTTGTTGTTTCAACGGATTCATTCTTTGGTACTGTCAAGAAGATCGAACTATCATCAGCATATAAGAAAAGTTTACAATTATGAACTGAGTCTGCTAAGTCATTAATATATAACAAAAATAATAGGGGGCCAAGAATTGATCCTTGGGGAACCCCACTATTTATTTCATAGGATCTAGAGTCTCGATTTTGAAGATTTTGAGGAATATTTGCACCAGTTTCAGCATTACATGAAATGTCTGAATAAGTATCATTGATCCTTACTTTTAATTTCCTATCTGTTAGATATGAGGTCAATAACTCTATAATATTGTTGCCTAATCCATAAGATTTCATCTTATGGAGTAACAAAAAATGTGGGACTGCGTCAAATGCACCTTCCACGTCTAAAAATATTCCACGGGTTGCTAGGTTAGAGTCAAAATTATCGGCTAACATATTAACAATAGAAAATAGTTGCTTCTGTGTATTATGGCCTGGTAAGAACCCGGACTGATTTTCATAAATGAGGTTCTTCGTGGAAACATGGTCAAAAATTGCTGTATAAATTATTCGTTCAAAAAGCTTTGAGAGATTATTGAGGAGGCAGATTGGTCTGTAGTTGGATGGGTCTGTTTTTGAATTTTTATTCTTATATATAGGAACAATTATACCCAGTTTCCAGCAATCAGGAAATGTATTTGTCTCCAAGAAAATAGTAAATAATTTAACTAGTTCAACATCGATAGAGTCAGCCACAAGTTTCAACATTTTGTTAGTGATATTATCTTCTCCACCTTAAGGTTCCGTAAGTTATCATTTATATTTTTTCGAGAAATATTTATGTAAGTCAAAGATTCATTTGTTTTCATAGGACAGGGCGGCAATGACTTATCAATTATATTATGGTGGAACTTAGTCATGAACTTATTTAAAAAAGCATTTGCTTTTCCAAGGTCATCATCAATAATTTTATCATTTATCTCAAGAAGAGGAATGCCTGTTGAAAACTTGGTTCCTATAAGTTTCTTTATAATTGTCCAGTAGTTTAGGCCATTTGCTGCTTCTTCATCCAAGTTATTACAAAGTTTATCTTGATAGTTGTTCTTTGAGTCAGTAATTAATTTGGTAAGATATGCGTTTTGCTTTTTAAATTGGTTGATGTTTAAGTCATTGCTGTCCTTTTTCATTTTTATTGTACAATTTATCTTTTTTATTGAGAGCTGACTTGATATCCTTGTTGAACCAGGGCATATCACTAGTTTTCAAGGTTGTAACTTTGCTTGGTATATGGGATTCAAATATATGAAAAAGTGCAGTAGTAAAATCTGATGTAATTTTGTTAACATCATCTTGTAGGTAAATACTGTTCCAATCGAAATCCTTAACAGCCTGATTCAGGTTGACTGTATTTGCCTCGCTATAAAGCCACGATCTCTTAGTAACCACATTTTGTTGACTTTGGTGTGGTTGGTACAGTGTGGTCATGTTTCACTCTCTTTCTTGGTGTACTGGATTCCATTTCAGCAGTTTCTAATAGTAGATCTTCTTTTTTCTTCCTATCAGTTTCCAATTTCTGTTTCTGAACTTCAAGTTCAGTCAATTTTGTGTATAGCTCTTTATCTAGTGCTGTACATTGTATCCCTTTCTTAGGCTGTACTGCGTCATAGTGTTCTTCATTAGGAACCTTCAAGTAAGCCAAATATATGGGTTTTTCTTTTTCTAAATATATGGGTTTCTTTTTTTCTAAGGTGGGAACATCTACTATATCAGGATGAACATCTAGAATTGGGATATTCACATCACTTGAAAAAATTCGCAATGGACGTCCCGTCATGTTTGCCATAACCAGTGGTATAGAATCTGCAATTTCACAGTCCCAATGACCAGGGGTCTTTAAGCTATCAATATCATTTTCGTAATTGTCATTAATACCTTCAATTTTATAGTGATTTTTCTTTTCATTTAAATGTTTACATACTTTGCTTCTTAGTGAATTTGTTGCTGTTTGTTCTGGGTTCATTCCAGTAATTGATGTTAAGACAGCGGCAAAGAAGCAATCTCCGTAAGGAGGTACGTCTACCCGTTCAAGTTCATTGGATGCTAGAATGTTATCCAGTCGCTCATAATGGTGGGCTGATACTAACTGCCTTCTTTGAAATTCATTTGAACTTTGTCGTTTGGCTTTTCTCATCATCCTTCTCTCTTCAAACTTCCTGTCGAGATTTTTTTTGATTGTTTATTTCTCCCAGTTTTCCTTTTCCAGTTCTTGTCTCTCGCTTTAATTGGCGTCCTTTTCTTTTGCTGTTTTTTGATGGGTGTCAGTCTCTTAAAGTCAGATTCAAAACTGGTATCTAATTCAAATGAATCAGAATTTGGCTCATAGGTGCTATTGTGAGTAATATAACATTGGTTAAATACATTGATGAAATATTAAGGGCAGGTTTAGTAATGAATAAGGTAATGTTGTTCAGTTTCAAATTGGCTCAGTATAGTGAATACGGTATGTTAGTATACTTTAAGGAAAAGAGAGCTTGAGCGACTTTCAATTATCATTTGGCATAAGCGTGTCTGATTTTGGCATACACATGTCGCATTCTGGCATAATCGTTCATATCATAATGAAAAGTAAGTTTGCTTCCACACGAGGTACTTGTTCCTTGTCTTGAATGTCATTGTACCCATGTAGCTAACCATGTTTCATAAGAAGTATGATGGGATATGTCGGGCTCATTCCAGACATTATGTAAACAATCTTCTCACAGAATCTCTTCCACATTGCATTCCAAAGGAGGTTGATTCATGCAATGTAATTCTTAGTAGTTTGTGTGTAATCTATTTTGGGAGACCTTCTACAGAAGTGGGAAAGTACCTCTTGTGGAATTCGGCTGTTAATGGTGAGGCAAAATGTCTTGAGAAACAGAATCTATTACCTTAGAGGCAAAGCCAATTTGAAAGCCAATATCAGTGTAGTAGACTAAATGTCTAGGTATAAAATGTGTACAAATGAGACAGGGGCCACATGAAGGACTGTGGGTTTGAAGAAAGATAAGAGCAGGTTAGAGAGGGCAAGATGGGTTTGGAAAGTGGAGGAATGTTTAAGATCTGAAGAAATGGAATTGTGTAGAACTTTGTACAATTGGAAATTAGAAAATAAAGTGAAGATGAAAACTATAAAAAGTCTCGGCCTTAATGTTTAGGAACTTTAGATCCGTTTACCAATAAGGGACACCAATGACATTGATCATAAAAGACTTTAAGTAATAATGGACATTGGTCAAGAAGAACATTGGTGGTCATTTTTAACTAACGGACACTATCATCATCACTTTTGGGATCTTCAATTTTCACAAGAGGTAAATCATCTTCAGTATCCCAGTTACCACTACTTGCTATACCACTACCAGCATGCTTTAAAGGTATATTGTCATCAGTGTCCCAGTTTGATTCAGTGTTAATAGAACGATCGGCATCTTCATCAGGCCCTAGATCTTCAATACGGATGTCGAAATGTGGGTTATAAGTTGGACTATATACAATATTGGCTTCTGTGACCATCTCAGGGCTATCAGTATAACTTTGCCCAAGTGTAATAGCATTACTTCTGTCGTCATTACCAGATATTGCATTGGAAATACTGCTAATAAGATCATTAGTATAAGGGTCAGATAGAGGAGCAGATAATTGAACAGGACTATTCACTAATTCACCATTAAGATTAAGACCATATTCATGATAAGGATATGTACAGTTTGCCTTACCAGTATCATTTTTGAACAAATTAGTACCAGTGTCCATATTGAGGATGCTCATATACTCAGTTTGCCCTCTTGATTGTGTAGCACATGAAACAGTTTTGTCTAATATTAGTGGCTGTGATTTGGACTGACCCTGTGGTGGTGCCTCTAGCTTGTTCTGTTCCAGTGTAGGTGCGTGCGATGCATACTGACGCTGTGGTTGTACCCCTAGCGTGTTCTGATTCAGTGGATGTATCTGCGATTTGTACTGGCCCTGTGATGGTACCTTTAGATTGTTCTGGTCCAGTTGAGATGTCCGCGATTCGCACTGACCTTGTGGTGGGACCTCTAGCTTATTCCAGTCCAGAAGAGGTGCCTGAGATTCGTATCGACACTGAGGTGGTACCTCTAGCTTGTTCTGGTCCAGGGGAGATGCCTGTGTTTCATACTGATGATGTGGCGGTACCCCTAGCTTGTGACATTTCAGTGGAGGAGTCTGCGATTCATACTGACCCTGTGATGGTACTTCTAGTTTGTTCTGGTCCAATGGAGGTGGCTGCGATTCGCACTGAACGTGTGGTGCTATCTCTGGTTTGTTCTGGTCCAATGGAGATGGCTGCGATTTGCACCGAACCTGTGATGCTATTTCTGGTTTGTTCTGGTCCAATGGAGGTGTTTGCGATTCGCACTGAGCCTGTGGTGCCATCTCTGGTTTGTTCTGGTCCAATTGAGGTGGCTGCGATTCGCACTGAACGTGTGGTGCTATCTCTGGTTTGTTCTGGTCCAATGGAGGTGGCTGCGATTTGCACTGAACCTGTGGTGCTATTTCTGGTTTGTTCTGGTCCAATGGAGGTGTTTGCGATTCGCACTGAGCCTGTGGTGCCATCTCTGGTTTGTTCTGGTCCAATGGAGGTGGCCGCGATTCGCACTGAACGTGTGGTGCTATCTCTGGTTTGTTCTGGTCCAATGGAGGTGGCTGCGATTCGCACTGAACCTGTGGTGCTATCTCTGGTTTGTTCTGGTCCAATGGAGGTGGCTGCGATTTGTTATGACCCATTGGAGGTGCCTGAGACAACTCATTTTGGATCCGTGGAGGTGGTTTATGTTTTTCAGATTCTGCTGTAGTTGTATTTCTATCACCTGAAAGATAATATACATTACCATCATTATTAGTGATTACTCACAAAATACTGAAATAATGAAAATACTATTTGCGTAAATTGAATTTTTAAGAGCCCTGAGGCATTGCATTGGAACTTTTTATATAACTGAACATTATTGAACTCTCATTGGTATGTATATGTATATAAAATGGGATATCAAATGTTAATATGAATATCTACATGAGCACAAAACAGATATTTTGGTGAAATTGTCTTTTCTGCAAAGGGTAAATTACAATAAAGCACATTGCAATCTGAATGATTCTATCTTTAAAAAAGTTTATCTACTCTGAAAATTAAATATGAAAATTAAGTGAGAAAAAAACTAATTAATATGTAACCATACCTTTTATAGGATCGAGTTTTTTAGCAGCTTCAAGTAAATATGAATTACAATTATCATCACTCCAGGATTCATATATATCCATGTTTACAGCACAACAACATACTGCAGTGGGATTAGATTCAAATGGTTCTGTGAATTTTGACAAAAGTTATGCATAATTTCTAATTGTACAAGATGACAATGGATCATTAATAGAACAAGATAAAGGATTAAAGGAATAGTCTCAAAAGAAAATGCTAATTTGCACCATTCATATTCTGGATTAGTAAATTCTACATGGTAACATTATGAAAGATACATGGAAAGACCTTAAAATGAAGCTATTTGAATAATTCTTCAATGTATTTATTGTAAAATGTAAGAATATATAAAAGACAAAAAGCTTCAAGTGACACATGCATCCTTTTATTTTAATTTACTACATAGTTTAGCAAAAGTTTATTGAGTCTAAAAAGATTCATATGTGGTATGAGTCCTTTTATTACAATTATTTGTTTAATGTTATCTAACATAAGACTAAGAAACAAAAGGTCTCAAGTTTAATTTGGGTCGTTTTAGTTACTGTGTTTGTCTCAAAAGTGAAAGAATCAGAAAGAATCAGAAAGATCCAAATGTAATTTGGGACTTAATGACTTTTAAATATAGTAGTTTAGACCCTTTTGTTTCCAATCAATTTTGTTAAAATCTAAATGGGACAATATATTTTAATGTCCATAATTAATTAATTAATTTTTTGTTTTAATTAACATTTTGTGACATGATAGAGAATGATCTGAGGAATATTTCTATTTAAAAAGCTCATTTTTGCCAAAAATGAACTTGGGACCTTCTGACTCCAAGCCATCGCAGTGTTCTCCCTAATTTTTCAAAAGCGAGCGGTAAAAATTTTGAATGAAAATTAATGGCTGGTGACAGTATTATTACAGTGGTTCAAAATTAAATAAAAAAAGTGCCTTAAAAAAATCGGCACAAAATCGATACAATTCCTGAAACAACTTATATATATGAACATAAAATCACATCCATGTACACTTAACTTGCTTTATGGTTTTATTTTCACATGTACAATAGTATAAACAGAACAAGTGTTGTAAACATCTGCTAAACATAGGACATTACAAACAGTAACAGAGTAAAGTTGCACCATAACAGTTTCAAGCTCTCAGTAGTCAGATAAGCAGTCAGATAAGCAGTCAGATAATCTCAAAGACTATAAAGCCTCCTGTCATGTATTCCATGACCAACAATTACAAAAATAATCATAAACATGTTTTAACACCTGTATTTAAAATAAGACAGGATAATGAGATTAAGTAACTACATGTAACTTAGCTGAAAAGGGTGGTTTAAGTGAAATTAACACGCCTCTCTTGTTTGTTTGCAAAAATTGAACACCTTGATATCTGGACCTTCTATTACAATTGTCATCAGTGCATTTAAAACTTTTTGATTGAGCCTATTTCTTTGTTTTGACTTGATAAGTTTCATCTGACTGAATGACCTCTCACATTCAGCAGTGGTCATTGGAATAGTTAAGGCATATTCTGCCATCAATGAAAGAGTAGGAAATATGTTCCTATTGTCTAGGACTAGTTTTATAGAAGCACCAGTGTTTGTACAAGTTGGGCTGCTCATCGCTCATCGTCAATAAATTGCAGTTTTATTATTCTATCAAGAAGATAAAAATACTATGATTTGTTGTTATAGTATTTCCAAAACGAGGCATTCATTCATTAACTTTGTCACGTGATAAAACATTTATGGTCATATAGGCGGGGCTTTATACTTTGAATGGCATCTGTAACAAAATCTCATTCTTATGGTTTTCACTGCATCAAATTAGTTAATTCCACTCATTAATAACGAAGAGTATCAGTTATAAGTTCTGCTAACTTCACAGGCAAAATCCTTGAACTGTGGTGAAGAAATCAAACTTTTTAAATGATGCCGCCAATCTTAGAATTGATAATTTGACGAAAAATTGCCGTCTAAAAATTGGCAAGGAGTTTCCTAGGATTTTTACACTTATTTCTGTGAGAAACATAGTTGAAATCGTAATCAAAATATGTATCAAACTTACACTCATCGTTTTCAAACAAAAAACAGCGTGGATCAGCTTGGTTGTCCATCAAATCATTGATAGTACACAACCTCGTAAATTGAAAATTTTTCCCTGGAAAACCACCTGAGCATAAACAGCGAGAAATGACAGCTTTTGCGCAAAATAATATTCTACTTACTCAGTTTCCTACTCGGCACAAGGGCTTGGATTTGTATTCAGATATCATTAATCCATGCCAATCTTATATTCTCTGGGAATATTGTTAAATGTTTGTGTTGATAACCGTGATATAAAAGCATCCAAGCCCGTCTCTCAGATTTCCTCCCGGGAATTATTCATGGACTTGGAAGAGTACGATCGCACTGAATGAACTGTTGAAAAAGATTCATTTCTGGTCAAAATTAAGAATCAAAACAAAGATCGTTTCTAGTGTTTTTTTGCTTATATTTATTGATTGAAAGTAGATTAGAATCGAAAGAATAAACAAGGTAAGTATTCGGCATGAAAGTGGAATCGGGAATACTAATTTGACTACATATTTCAGCCTAAAAGAAGAAGAAAATATTTTTCGCTATATCTTGATTTTCCAGTCAGGGAGAACACAGCATACTGTTCCAAATGAATTAACCGTTATAGGGTTTTAACTCCTTTACTTTTGTATTCATTTTATTTCGGATTTCCATTTCTAGTGTGATTAACAAGTGTGCTATGTGTGCTATGGAATTGACAAAGACTAAATTTGCACTAGCATTCTATGACTGACTGTAAGTTTTAGCTTCCCCCTTCTGCAACTGTGTCCACTATACAATGATGAATTGTATCCCAAATTTTCCAATTTGTTTCTCAGAATTTATTTTTGTCTGGTGAATGTAATTAATTTACAATTCTTTGAGTAAAGAAAGGCTGTTTAAATGTCTATATTTATGGAAAGAATGTTTGTGATTGAAAGCAGACACAATGTTTAAGGGAGAATTTTCTTGGGCCAGCACATGTAGGGTGAAAATGTGTTGTGCTGTTTGGTTCGTATTGGAGTGTTTTATGAGGAAAATCAGTCTTGTTTGAAAATATCTCGTTGTAACAGGGGTTTATTGTTGTCAAAGATGGCACTTGAATAAGGGATAATGTTGACTGCTCTGGCAAAAAAGGAATGTAAGTGTCAACATTAGAAACCAAATGAGGAGTCTGTTTTTGAGGTTAGATCTAAAGAGCCAAAAATTTGAAATTGAGGACCATTATTTAAAAGTTCTGCTTAAAAATTGCATGTAAATTGGTATGGTGTCAATTTGAACTGGTAAAATACTCTATTATAACATGTACCGTACAGAATAAAAGAGAGGTCCTCCATTGTGTGAATAGATTCTGCCATGTTTTGATGTTGTAGGCTGACATTATGTTGGATTGAACTTGTTTTTTAAGCTCCTTGACTTGATATTGAATAGATTACCAGTGATTGTTAAAATGAAAATGCTGTGATTTGATTTTGTACTGAATTGAGATAACAGGGATAAAACAGGCTTGAAAGTGTCAATTATGTCAACGCTCATGCACTGGGGATGAACTGGACACGAGGGAGGTTTTGCCCGGTATCAAAATGGCGGCGCGTGAAAAAATTTCATTCAGTAAGATTTTTGTTTTTTACAATTTTCGTGCTTTTATCCTACATTTTGTAACAATGAAACGAGGCAATGTTTGACTTGCAACGAGGCAACTATTCTTTCTGTGATAGTGTCTACATTTATTGATCTTATTTCCACCATTCTGGTCACATACGACCGATTACGTTTTACACGATATACATGATTATATATGTAAGAGTTAAAAAGAATAACCATATTGTTCATAAAGCGCTACACTGGTCATTTATCTTTCAGAGCAAGACAACATGGATGAATCCTTTGCTATAGAATTCGGCTGTGCCATTCATATGGGCCATAACCCACCCTTAGTCAATGTTTTTTAAAAGCGTATTCATGCAAGCCGTCGGTTGAATCACCATTGTCTGGAAGTAGCTTATCAAGCTTGCAAGGTTGCTTTCTCCCCAAGGGCTGCTAATCCGTTTCAAGAGATTCGCAACTGTTAATTTCTTTTTAATATTCATCTGGCGTATGTCACGAAGCCTTTTGCTGAGGATTGATATAATTTTCATAGACGCTGCTCGGATAGGCTTTATGTCATGCTCCTCAATCTCTTCAACATTACTCACATCTATTGCTGTGTCTGTTAACACTGTCATGACTTGGTCAATCATTTCGGTTTCAATCTTTAATCTTTGCTTCCGTTCAACAAGAGTCGGAGATGCTTCGTAGCCATTTAAGTCTTCTTCCCCAAGGTATTTACCAAACCCATAAGCAATTTTCTTGCCATCAAATGATAATTTGCAATCTTCCCCATTATGTGGTTCAGCAAAAGCATCCAAAGACTCAGAGAGTATCCCTGTTGTCTTAGTCGCTTCCCTCATTGATGCACCATCTTTGTTCAGAATCCTTTCCGAGGGCACGGCGAAATTTTTGTTAAAAACAGCAACATCACCTGATAAATAAAAAATAAATATGATAAATTAAAAATGAATTAATTAATTGAATGAATATTGTCGCGCCGGGACGTTTCCAAGGAGTACCCTGTAACTCAACTTCAGGGAAAGGCCAGGGACGATATAAGGGATCTTTGAGGT